TACACATTTATTAGTTTGGTACCAAAGAGGTCTTGGATCAAAATATAAGGATTTGAGGAATGCAGTCCAGATTTCAGATATCTTTCTTTTGGAGTAAGTGTTTTAACTGCTGTAATGCTGCACATAAATAACTCTTTCCTTCCCTCCCTGGAATTGACCTGGGCCCTTCAGGGAGCATACACACCCAGGTGGGATCCACCTAGTTTTGGACACTTAACATCTTGACAATTAGATCTGAGTTAGCTGTCTGAACTGTCTTCATAGTGAAGAAACAGTTGTATGGTACCATTCCTCTCAGTTAAAATAAATACTCATAATAAATAGTTCCAAGTAATCATTTCTTAGAAATGTTGTTAATTATAAAGGGAGACCAAGGTGACTAACAGAGACACAGATCATAAACACACAGCATAATCCAGTCTGCAAATGACCTCAATGTCTCCAGTCCAACCTCCTGCTCACCGAAGTCAGACCAGGTTGCTCAGTGTTGTGTCCAGTCAAATCATGACAACCTTCAAAGATGGCAAAACCTCCCTGGCCAGCCTGCTTCCCTGTCTGACTGTTCTCATGTGGAAAAAATGATTTCTTATGTCCAGTCTGTCTTACTCTATGCTTGTCATCTCTTCTCACCTCACCATGCACCACTGGAAAGAGCAAGGTTTCATTGCTTTGCTCACCTCCCCACAGGCACTGTTAGGTGAGGGTTTCTGTTAGGTGTCCCAAAATCCATGACCTCTTCAGGCTCAAAAAGCTCTTGTCTGTAGTATCTTCTCACAGGCCCCAGCCACTCTGGTGGTTTTACATTAAACTCACCTCAATTGCCTGTACCAAGGAGTCTAAAACTAAATGCAGTATTTACACAACCATAGAAGTTTTGAGCTGGAAGGGACTTTTAAAGACCACCTGGATCAACTCCCCGTGCTGTGGGCAGGGACATCTTTCACTGATCATGTTGCTCAAAGCCCCATCAAGCCTGGCTTTGAACTCTTCTAGGAATTGGGCATTATAAATTCTCCGTGTAGCCCACCAATCAGTGTGTGCAGCGAGAAGGGGCTAAACATAGGGAAAAACATGGATTAAGTGGTGGCACAAAAAGCCTCAAATCAAAAAGTATTTCTGCTTAGGATAAGACCCAAACAGCCATGTAAGTCTCTGTGTCTATGTCTAGCCTGACCTGCTGGGGTCATGTGCAGTCTTGAATCCTGGACAGAACAGACATGGAGGCGCTGTGGGTGTCTGCTTTTTGTCTAGTCTCAGTACCTCTTTCTTGCCCTCATAAATGAATTATAAATTGGTGCCACGATCTGCCTGTGCCTTGAAGCTGGCTGTGCATCTTCCCTGAGAAACTTGAGAACATTCCTGGGTTTGATAATGCAAACATTAGTGTTGTGTTAACACACTGCTCAAGTAGTGAAAATGGTTCATCCAGTTTGGTCAGAGAGGAGAAATCCCCTAGTACTGACTCCATATCTGTGTTGATGCCACTTCCAGCTAGGAATACACAACTGCTAGTCACAACCAGAAAACCTGGACCACTCATCAGCCAAATGATGGAGAGAAGACTTGTCTTGCACAGAAATTGTGGAACAGTTTAGGGTTAGAGTTTAGGTCTTATATAACTTTGGACAATTGCTCCTTCTCACTTGGAAAATGGAGCTAATATTGCTATTTTCTGTTCAGCTTTTAAATTTTCTACTGCAATCTTTTGCTAAGCATTGACATTCTGACTTCTCAGCATCAGCTGTAATTTGTAGGTATTTCAAAATACAGAAACAGTCAAGTAGAAAACAGCAATGTAGCATTTGGCCATGTTGCTGGCAACAACACTGTTTCAATATTCGAGATGACATGCTGACTAAAGCAAAAAAACAACCATGCAGTATATCAGTATTTTTAATGGTTGCAAGAATCCTTTTCTGATCCACTTGTCCATTATACCAGAACCATGACCTTGGATTTGCCTCGCCTCTACAGGCTTTCCTGGACATCACTGGATGGTGGCTGACCTTGATAGCTTGTCACAGACACAGTCCTCACACACTGATCTGATTTCCCTGACCCCAGACCTGCCTCATCCCCATGGACATGTCTGGTTGCCTGGATTGCTGGCTGACCTAGTTCCCATCAACTCCTCTCCCCTTTTCCCCTTGTTTGGGTGATGGAAATTTCTGTCCTGCCAGCCACTCCATCCCTCCCTCCCAACTGCCAGCCCCACTGGCCTTGTATGCCAGCCTTGCTGCTTCCAGACAGAGCCTGGCTGTAAAGCAGGCAGCAGACACAGCCATATATTGAGCACCAGGAGATGCAGATGGATAATTTTATTACAGGTTGTACTACTGGTATTCATGGAAATGATTGCAATGTTATGAACCAAATAACCCTTCTTCCTCATCCAGCTCTCTCCTTATAACACTCAGTCTCTCTTCCCCCACGATGGCCTTGTACTTTACTGCTTTGCCTCAAAAGTATTAGTATGCCTCAAAGCATTAGTAGCTAATGTTGTGAATAATGTTTAGGCATTGACACAGCTACTTTCTATGTATTTGCACAAACACAAACATGCATTTGAGAATCAATAAATAACAGAGAAATACGGTCTCTACCAACTAGAAGATGCCAGAATCATAGCATAAAAAGGCCAAGTGTAGACAGTGTATCTGGGCCACAACTTTTTTATTGTCTAACTATATGAAACTTCTGGAAACTTTGTCTTTCTTTCCTGTTCATTATGCTGTAGTAGAACAATTATCCAATATATATTGGATTATTTTGGTTACATAGACATTGGGCTATACATAGCCCAAATAATCTTGGTCTATAACCTTGAGAAAATCAGTAGGAAATATCTGCAGGTTTTTTTTAATGCTAAGAATTTAATTCTTTAATTTCACTTATTAAAATAGTTTTTGTTTGTGTGTATGTGTGGGGAGATTAACTATACTCCACTTAAGTTATAGTTTATTAAGTTTATAACTTTTGCCAAAGTAAAATTAGACTATCTCTTCCAAAGTCATTTCATGCACTTAGCTGAAACTGCCCACTGACTCCATATAAAAATTGATTTTAATGGGGTCATACATGAATTAATTTAACCCACTTAAATCTGGCTGGACTTCAAATCCAGGTGGTATTTTCCTCGCATGGCTTAGCTGAGACCTCCTCAGACAGCAGAGCTGGGTCTTCCTCTTACTTTCTCCTAATTTGACATGGTATCTATCCACAGACTTTCAACAGCCTCCTGAACAAATAGTGAGCACTGTTTTTTAGACCAACAAGATTGTAATAAATGTTGACAGGAGTCAGATTCTGGAGCTGAAAGATATCCTTCTGTGTGTCTGTGTCTATGTTTCATTGCAAATAAATTTAAGGGAATTATTTCTGTATAAGTTCTGTTGTAATCTGTGACTGTATTATTATCAATATTTTTAAAACTTCTGATATAATTTTATGTGTGAATTTTGTCTGTTTGAACATTAAGGAAACTTCCCTGCCTGACCATCCACACTCTGGCAGTCACACTCCCACCACCTGACTGGGACCAAGGTCCCTTCACAGTGGGCAGCTTCAGAGAGATGACAGCTGCCCATCTTGACACCCTGTACACCCCACTCTCACACAGTTAGACCAGATTTCCATACTGGCTCAACCCCCAGATTTCCATAGCAGAATCTCAGACATCTAGATCCCTAAAATGATTTAATCATGGTGCAGTCACAGAATAACAAACCAAGCTGGTGCCTCTGAGGACAGACCCAGAACAAAGAACTCCCTGGGCTTTCAAACCCTCAGTCTTTGCATGGTAAAATCTGGGGTCCTCCAGCTGAGTCCCCAGTTCCTGCCGTGTCCCTGAGTGCCCGGGCACCTGGCTGGGCCACAGGCCCCTGTGCCCTCTGTTCTGCAAAGGGTCAGCAGCTCACAGCCTTGGCTGGGGCTACAACACCCAGAGCCCAACCTGCACCTCCAACTGCAGCAGCACCGTGAGCTACCAGCACTGAATGTATTCCTCACCATGAATATCAAAGTGACTGCTGACCATGATTTCCTGATTACAGATCAACATGGAAACATAAAAATGATATAGAAAACAAATAAATTATTCTTTATAAAATGTTCTCATATCTCTATGGCCTAAACTTTAAAATGCCATCAGTTATTTTGAATGGGTTTTTGGGAACCTCACCTGAATTATAAATGTGCCTGGTTTAGATAAAATGCCACATTTAGAAAACTAAGCAATCACCCTCTGAATATCTGTCCTCTTTCAAGTATCACAGATGGAAAATTTAAAAATTTGAAACCACAGGCCAATATTTGATTTGTTTAGATGTAAGATAAATATAGAAGAAATCCCGTTACTGTTCAAATTCTTCCTGAAACTGATTGACTTATGTAGGGACAGTAGTGTACAGGTTCTTAATGTAATAGTTGGTCAACAAACAAAGTTTTTGTTGCTTTTTTATTTTTAATCAAGGCATAATATTATGGAGTTTTACTAGCAGTTTCCCTTGAACTTCTTTTTCTTTTCTTCCTAGTTTCTCCATTCAAAGCTCTGTCCATTAGTTTGTTTATCTTAGTGTATTTATAGTATATATCATTCCCATATGAATACCCTTTGTTGGTGACAGTAATTGCTATTTTTAGTTGAACAACATGTTTACTATGTGCTGGTGCAAGTGCTTGGCTTCAAGGTTTATTGAGCCAAAAATTTTGTGGACATATTAATATGGCTGATAATGAAGATACTAATACCTGTGTACAAATTCTGTTTATTCTTACATTTCCAAGAATTATATATTTAAAATTCTGTAAGCTTCACTCCTCAGAATGTGCATAGGATTGGTTGGCTTTTTCAAATCAAACCCCAGCAAATACATACCTACATAACATACCTACCTTAAAAGAAAAAAAAAAAAAAAAAGGAAGAAGAGCAAATACCAATATCCAGTTCTTATCTTTTTTCAAAACATGACAGAAATTTAATTTCATTACTTTTCATTACATATAACTTCATTGCAGGACAGTCCTTACCATTAGATGAAAACATTCCCAGAAAGGTTTGTTTAGAGTTGAAGAGTCTCAGTCAGGGGAACAGTCTCCCATGAGTATTTTGGGAGAGTCCTCCCTCTAGCGGGAAAAGAGGAGAGTTTTTGGAAGAGGTGTTTTTCTGTCACAGCACACACCACGGATACACAAGACGGGTCGATGCTACAATATGGGGAAAGGTAAGAAAAAAAGGCATTTAGCTAAAAATCAGAAGTTAGATGCAGGAAAAAAAACATTGTGGATCAGGTCAGAGCACTACGGAACTGCATAAATAGTGATTGTCATCTTCTGCTTCTCCTAAAATGAAAAAAAACCCAAACAAAACCAACCAAAAAATCCATACAAAACTAGATTTCTTGTATCAGAAGTGCTGCATCTTTCATATAAAAATATATCTGAAAATCCTTCAGAATTTTGCATAAACAACAGGTAGAAATTCTTGTATACTTACTGATTATTCTAGGAAGTAGTTTTTCAGATTAGCTCCTGAAAAAATCCTGTGTTCTTGTCATATCAGAATTTAACATAACTGTATTCCCTTCATCCACTATGATTCGTCACTTCTGATAAGCATCCATTTTGATAAGCTTTATTTTCCTCACAGGCTGCAGAAGAAAATGTAAACATACTCTGGAAAAGGTGTTAAAAATGGGAAACCTTCATTTACTTTGTATTGCTACACCATGCATTCACTATAATGCTTTGAGCCCTGTCATTCAGCCAGTCCTTCACCCAGTGTACCATGTACTGCTCATCCCACAATTGCACAGCTTGCTCAGAAGGATGCTGTGAGGGAACAGTCTCCAAAGCCATACCAAAATCCAGAACTCTACATCCACTGCATCCTCTTCATACATGAGATGGATGACCTTGTCATAGAACAATATCAAATTATAGTTAAATAGGAATTTCTCTTTGTGATCCCATGTAGATTGTGACTGATGATTACATTACTCTTCAAATGCCTTTCAGTAGTACCCAGAATAATCTTCTACAGTGTTTTTTTACAGAAACTGAAGATAGAATAAAATCATTCTCTTCTTTATACTAATAAAATTAGTCTTTTATTTCCTGTGTTTTCCCTTGCTCTTTTTGTGGATAGAAATAACACTGGCCAATTTCCAATCAGTTGGAACCTCCCCAGACATCCAAGACCTTTAGTAGGTGGTCAAGAGAGGTCCTGCCATAACATCCGCCAGAACCTTCAGAACTCTGGGATGAATCCCATCAAGTCCCAAGGACTTGTGAACACTCTGCTGTTACAGCTGGTCCCTCAAAACTCTGATGTCCACAAATGGAGGATCACTGTTCCTGCAGCCCTGTGACTCAGTGACTTGGCACCCCAAGGCTTACCAGTACTACTAAAGACTAACTGAAAAAAAGCATTCAATGCCTCTGCCTTTTCTTCATCACCATTTGTCAGGTGACCAGCTTCATCAGGTATTGGTTCAGTATTTCCCTTAAACCTCTTCTATGAACATACTTTAAAAAGCCCATTTCATTGTCTTTACACAACACTGACCAGTTTCAGCTCTTCACCTTTTGTGTTTTCTCCCTACACATGAGAACTACAGCTTTATAATCTTTCCTGCCAGCCTGCTCTCACAGAAAGCCCTAAATCCTCAAAAGGCAAGGCACTGTAAACTGGCTCCCTCAGCAACTAAAGGCTTGCTCTCTTCTAGTCCATGGTAGTGACTTCATTGACCTTTTTTCTCATTAACTGCAAATTTTAAACTCCACCATTTGGTGATCAGTGTGGCCAGGTGATTATCATTTGTATTACTACACCTACCATCATTTCTCCTGAGTCCTCTCTACACAGATAAGAGGTGATAAGGTCTTATCTATTGAGTATATAAGGAGCCATGTGGAGACACATAGAGCTATGAAATGACCTGAGATGTTGCCTCATGCAGTCTGAGTGAGAAGCCAGCCTCCTGCTCCCTGAGCACTTGGGACAGAGAGTCTGTGACCCCGAATGACAGAGCTGGCCATCAGGACAACTGGTAGCCTTCACTTGGGCATTGTCTGACTTGTAAGATGCCATCCTTGTAATGCTGTCAATGCTCTTTGGACACAGATCTCAAAACAAAGACATGAGTGAATTTTTTTTCAGTACTACAAAGCCATCTCACAGATCATACATTTTTATCTTATTTGGGGAATTCTTATGAAAGCTTCACCCAAGTCCTGATACAGGAAAGCAGTGCAACTCTCCTATATCAATTGATTAAGTAGTAGAAATTATTATCAGGGTGAAACAAGGCACTTTCAGATGGTTTTCTCTTTAAAGTCAAGAATATCTAAGAGGTACGAGAAATTATAACTGAGAAATCAAGGGAATTATGACAGAAGTGAGATATGGGAAGTTCTAACAATTGCTATTAAAAAGTTGGAGATAATTTATGTACCCTTTGTATCTTAAAAATAATATTTTTAATACCTGAAAATTACTGAGTAAACATATGACCCGAAGTTGGACTGAAACTATAAAAACACACTGAAAGACACTTTCTAATATTAGAATGCAGTGAATCAAGTTTTTCTCCTATATTTGGATTCTGGTAAACTTCACCTTCCTAAGTTTCTGCAGAAGAAAATGCAAAAATACTCCTTAAAAGTTTCTAAAATGCTAAAATATTATACCCTGCATTCATAAAAATGCAAGGGTCTTTTTGTTTGTTTGTTTGTTTTGGGGTTTTTTTTCCGTTTCTTTTTGTTTTGTTTTGTTTTGTTTTTTGCTTTACAGACTTTTTTTTCTTTCTAGGATGAAAATATCCAGAATTAATTTCCCCTAATTAAATATTATTCAAAAACTTGGGAGAAAAAAAAATATCAGAAAAAGAGGATTCCACAATGCTTACTCCTAAAACAAGTTTAGTGATTTTCCTCTGGAAATATTCCAAGTTGCCTCTAAAAGCATGTTTAAGAAGCGGCAATGTCTGTGCTCCCTCTTCTGGCTCTGCAGCAACATTGACCTGGGCAAATCCTAACCAGAATAACATCAGGGCTGAAGCTTGTCCTCAACAGAAAGAACAAAAATGTGAAGCATTGTTTCAGCTTCCTCAGTGAGAAAAACTAAAAGTTGCTTCAAATGAAAATGAAAATGATTTAAAAAGTATTTTATTTCCAAGTTTTTTGAAAGTTTTTTCCAAGATCTGAGAGTTAAAAAATATTAAAATGCCTTGCACAAGGGACAAGAGTAGTTTTCTCAATATTTGTAATACTGATGGTAATTTTAAAGAATAGTTAGTTACAGACATCCTGATCTCCATGGTGGGCAATCTGAAATTTTTAAAATAATAATAAAATAAAATATTAAAATAAAATAAAATATTAAAAATAAAAATAAAATAATAGTTTGACTTGAATTATTCATGAAGAAGATTTAAATAACCTTTTAAATGCTAAAATTAGATCCTTTTCAATTGTGTATTTGTAAGCCCAGTAGCTCCTCCAAACCAAACAGTACCAGAAATAAAAAGTAAACAGCTTCATTCTCTCAGGAGCAATTAATTCATATATTTCTATAGGAATAACTCATAGAACCAAGACTTTATTTTATCACCATACATGATTATATATAGTCTACTATGAAGAACAGGTGGTGTGAACTATACAACTTCCACCTCAAATATGACAGGAGGTATCCTTTTAAATTCTTTGCAGTGGTTCTGCTACATTCAACACAGAACTCTTACATCTGTAAGACAAAGCCATCCTTGCTGGATTAGTCATGTGGCTTCTCAGCAGTCTTTAATAATGGCTGCTTATTTCAGCCTTAACTAAGAAAATATTTATAATTAAAAATAAATTAGTGGTTTCACAATAAATGGTTAAAGTACATTGTGGCACTTGAAATTACTTCTTCATTTTTGCAATTTTATTATGATCTTCGATAGGTGAGCCATCTCAGAGGCAATGAGGTTCATACTGTGACTCAGGAATGGCTTCTCTCCAGCATGGTGTACCCTACACAAAAACTCAGAACAATTATTTTCCCCTACTCTTGTTCAATTTAATAGGAAGGTGAGCTGGGCATGAGGAGTAGCAGGAAGGACAGAAAAAAAAGATCCTGATTGCTTCCTCCTATATTTTTTTGTACTATTTTCCCCCCAGATTTGCAAAGCAAAATACACTAGACAGCTCTAAGCAAAGATCTGCCACTCCAGGAATCAACTGTCCACATACTGTGTAGTGTCACTCAAAACTGGGGCACAACATTTAGTGGTGTCTAAGACACACTGTAGACAGGACTTTTGAAAATAACATCCGGGATGGACCAAGTTAATTACTAGGGAGGCAGCCTCTCAACCAGTAAATCTCAACCACAGCATATCCTCTTCATGACGTGAAGAGACCGCAGCACCATCAGCAGCATCACAGTTGCCTCCAGCCTCAACCCCTCCTTCACAGCAGTTTGCCCGAGGGAACTGGGGAATGTGAGCAGTGTCTTACCCCACACACAGGCATAAATTCAGGTGTGGCTCTGCCTGCTTGTGCAAACCAGAGTGACACAGTAGCTCGAGACTCCATTAAGATTTCTGGAAGAAGAAGTTCTGCTGGTTGATGTCATAGGGGCAGAGTTATGAGCTATGTATTTCCTTTCCTGCTACCCTGCAGCTTGGGAAGAAAAGGAAGGAGTATTACATCCCACCCCCTTTTTCAGTCATCCTTCCCATAGGCGCAAGCAGCAACAAAATTTTGCTGCCACTGGCAAAGCGGAGCAATCCTGCATCTGTGCTGTTACAAGGTAACAAGCAAGTCCACAATCCCTGCGTCAGTACAAACTAATGAGATTCCAAAACACCAGCGTCTTGACTTACAAAACCAACACTTCCTACTTTGCAAAACAAAAGGCCATTTAGAGATAGATGTACACACTTAGCATAGTGTGACCTTGGAAGTGTGATGTATTCTGCTAAATATCAACCAAATATCCCACTTCTGGATTTTGTAAGAAAATTATTATACCCGTAGAATTTGTAGGTTTAACTTCTGACGGTAGCAATTTGTTGCACACTTGGCTTTCAAGAAAACCTGTTGCACAACTGTTAGTTCAAAGAAAGCAACACTCTATTCTATGACTTGCAATCTCAAGCTAAATGATACATGCACCAGCTACAAATACTTCAAACAATTGTGGCTTTGGGACCCTCTGCACAAAGGCTTTCACAGCATTATAGGGTGGTTTAGATTGGAAGGCACCTCTGGAGTCTTCCCCTGCTCAATAGGGCCATGTAGATCCCTTTTCTCCAGCTATGTCACCTAACCTGCTTCCTGCACCAAGAGAAAGTGGGACAGATATTTAATCCCAAAGTTTAGGGCTGTTGTATGGAAAGACTATGGACAAGGAAGTTGTCTACTGTCCAGAGTTTATCTAATAATTAAATTTTTGATTTCAAGGTTAGAGGAAGACATTTACATATTACAGACCATCTGCTCTGAGAGCTTCTACAGGCCCTGCTTTTTAAGTAGCAATGGCCCTCTTTGGTTAAATTCGTTGCAGGAGTCAACAGTAAAAAAGTAAAGGACTAAACATTCCTATAAACACTGATCTTTTTGGACCACAATCAAATAAGAGTATTGCAAAGCTGACCTGCTTTGTTATACCTGTGGAAGCTCTAGAAGGTGTACTTATGGGGAAAGGCAAAAGTGCCTGAGCTTTCAGATGCACAAGAACTGATAAACATTTCCTACTTGTGAAGGATGGAAGGGGCAGTATTCAGGTGTGGATCAATTCTGTGACATGATTCTCAAAACTCATATTGATGCCTCCTGAGATGAAACTTGCTATAGACAAGGAGCATCAGGAGGAATATAATTTGACCCTTTTACTCAGAGTAAAGGCAGATAGCAACCAATGGCAAACCCCAAAACTCAATAACAGTACAAACTAAACTAAACAACATACAACATGGTTTAGTTCCATCAACCCATCTTGATGCCATCCAGTTTCAGCAGCCCTGCTTTTTTTAGCCTGTGTGTTGACGCCAAAGCTGTGATAAACTGCAGGACATGGAACCCTTGATCTCTAGGTCATCCAGTCTGATGATATACCTGAGGTCTATAATGCTGAAACGCTTTTTCTGGGAGACACTAGGAGCTTGGTGTGTTATACCCGCTATGCAAATCCAGAATCACATTTAACACTAGAAGAAAACCTCCAGTCAGAGATGAATGTTTAAATACAATTGCAAATGCCATTGCATTTTCCTGAATAAAAAGGTGAAGTGTTAGAAGCATAGACTGAATAATTTTTTAATGACATAGACCAGTCTGGCTTGTCTTCAAAATAAAATTAAACTCAATTAAAAAACAAAAAAAACCAAGCCAAACCAAAACAACCAAACCACAGACAAGCAAATAAAAAAGAAGACTTAAAGTATTTCTTTGTTTTTTCTTCCCATATGACAGAAACAGAGACTAATGAAGTTAGTATAGGTTAGGCAAAAAGATGGATGATGTGCATAAAAGCTATTCTCTTCTACAGTGACTTTTTGTATTTTAAAAAAAAAAAAAAAAAAGGACAAATCTGACTTTAAAAGACATCTATGGACAGTTAAGAAAATGTCAGCTTTCAAAGAAAAATCTTTAGCACTTAAAAATTGCAGCTTTACACATTGACAAAGATTGCTTATGAGCACAAGTTCAATGGCTTTGGAGAGGAGTCAGTGAAAACAGAATCTCAAGAAATGTCAGGAAGGATCGATCTCTCAACTTCACTGCCCACATTCAGCTCTCACGTTAGCAGGTGATCCAATAAAAAGGTGAGTAAATGCAACCCATTGTTTTTAGACATCAATATGATGCAAGAATAAGTAAGAGAATTAGATTTCTATTACTTAATTTTCATAACAGTTTATTTATATTTTGAGTTTATTGATGTTAAAATGCAACATTTATATTAATCCACACAATAGATATGTCAATTTTCAAAGTTTTGCAATTATTATTTTGTCACTTAGTTCCTATTAAATATTTGGTACCCATAGGTCATATACATGATATGGAATATCACTGTCATGTATCAGATGTAAATGATTTCTTAAATGAAAGTGTTAAATTGTTGAAACCTAAGGACAGATGTTCAATATGTTCTTTTTTCCTTGTTATCCCCTTCAAGGCTTAATTTGTACATATAGGTATGAAATTTAGGGTAAGTGTTTTTTTCCCTTTAACAGTTTGCAAATTTTATATTGAACAGCTACAGGAAAAATTAAAACTTATTTGTCTTACAGAATTATGACATTGTAGAAGTTAATTATTACTTTGACCCTTTGTACAGGTTCTTATGTTGCCTTAAATGAAACACGATCTTTATGATTTTAGTTTTGGTTAAAGTACTGATTTCACATGCGAATGAAGTTTGAGTTAAGTAAAAACTATTCCTTTTTTTGTGTGTGTGTGTTTTAAAAATTTCTATTAAGAACCTAAAGGTATTGAATCTTAAATAGAAACCACCTTATATATAGAAGACACTTTATATTTCAAAGGAAATTATTTCCTAGATCTAATAAATAGTTTTATTTCACACTCCTGTAATTCCAGCTGTGAAATGAAATTAACATTGCCCAAAAGATGCTACAAAACATTGTAGTCACTTCTGAAGATCTGGGATGTAAATATTTATAAAGCTTTTAATATTTCAAGTCTGCAAACTCTAGAACTAGGAATGTCATCATTTATTTATTTATTTATTACAGTTTTCCTGAATATCACCACAGAAGTGTAATAACAGCACTCTTCTATAAACACAAAAATGTTCAAAAATTGCCACATGCGAGTCTTACCCAGTGCATAAAATGCATTTGTGAAAACCTTTTGGTGATCACTAATTTAATTTACTTACAGTATTGTGTTTCCAAATGGCTTAAAAAGCAGTTTAGAAAATGAAATATCAGTAAAGTTGCTACTGTGATTATATCCATACATTTATGTGGGGAAGACTTAGAGGCTGTTTTTTTGCAGGCTGTTGTATATCCAAGGATCAAAGGTAGTTGCAGTGCTTATCTGAATGCAGTGCTTGCCTAAATTATTTTCACTGGACACTGGCCTTTGCAAAGGATTGAGGGACGGATCCAAAATCAAATTAAGATTCTTATCACAATGTTTAATCTCTATATGCCTGTCCCTTCAGAGACCCATCAGAATCCCAGGGGTAGTGAGCTTTTTTACATGTTCACAGAGAGTTAACCTACAAGTTGGTAACTGTGAACTGTGAATTTTTACATGTTTATAAAACAGTCTCCAGAAAATTTCAGGCTCTGGTGATTTTCTGTTTACTGACAGGATGCGCTGTTCATTCTCAACTATGCAGGGAAACTGAAGTGTATCTTGGGAAGTCCTCACCAAAGTACCTACTAAACTGGCAGCTTATTTGGTTGGTTTGCCACACTTGCCATGCTCTCCAGTCTTCAACAAACTTTCAAGGCTGATAATCAAGTCACAAATAACTGTGTACAGGCAGCCTTAGCCTCCTCCAGCTCGCATTTAGCTATCTCAGTGACAGTGAATAACCTGAAGTTCCTCTCCCTCTGAGAACACCAGGCAGGCAGCTCAGGAGCCAGCCCGAGAAAGGCAGAGTGAATGATTTCCATGAAAACCTGCCTTTGTGCACTGCCTGTGCAGAACGCCTAGCTCAGGAGCTCAGGTGGGATGCAGATCTTTCAGAAGCACAGATCAAGCTAACTGAGGGACATTGAGTGGGGACATTTTCTTTCAGTGCTTGCTTAACCCCAGGTACCAGAGAAAGTAGCACATATGTAACTCTTCATGGGAAGGTGCCACACCGGTGGGCACAGGTGTGCAGGGGGCACCCACCACCGCTGTCCATGGGGATGTCCAAGCAGCAGCGTGGGCTGGGCTCCCTGCCAGCGGAACCCTGAGGAGCTGGTTCCCCTCATGGAACTTTGCTGCCAACTCCCATGTTTTCAAACACATTTATTTTAGTCTCACCTCTTCTTTAAAAAATAAAAATAAATATATATATATATATATATATTTCGATGCTTTTCCTTTTCCTGCCAGTTGCAAACATTTATGGCAGTTTGCATGTGGGGAGCCAAGGGAGTACCAGCTGTGCCTCCCTGCTTGTCCAGAGCGCGGTTCCTTATTGCAGCAACTCCCAGCTTCCCAGGAAATTGCGGGGCTGCTCTCCGCTGGTGGGAGGCCGGAGACACGAGGCAACTGTGTCAGGCTGTGGGCTTATTACAATGAATAACCCCGAGCACCAGTACAGATTGAGGGTGACCTGCTGGAAAGAAGCTCTGCTGAGGAAGATCTGGAGGTCCTGGTGGACAACAAACTGTCCATGAGCCAGCAGTGTGCCCTGGTGGCCAAGAAGGCCAATGGTATTTTGGGGTGCATCAGGAAAAGCATTGCCAGTAGGTTGTGGGAGATGACTTTGCCCCTCTCCTCAGCCTTGAGTGTGTCTGAAGTGCTGTGTCTATTTCTGGGCTCCTCAGCACAAGAGAAACACGGAGCTCCTGGAGCAAGTCCAGGCACTATGGAGATGATTAAGGGGCTTACACTTGTCTTACAAGGGAAGATTGAGGGAGCTGGGCCTGTGCAGTCTCAAGAAGAGACAACTGATAGGGGATCTCATCAATATCTTAAGAGAAAGCATCAAGAGCATGGAGCCAACTTCTGCTCAATGGTGCTGACAGGACAAGAAGAAATGGGCAGAAACTGATGCGCAGCAAGTTCCACCTGAATGTGAGGAAGAACTTCTTGACCGTGCAGGTGCCCCTGCACAAGAACAGATTGTCCAGAGAGGTTGTGCCCCTCAAACGCATTATTCAAGAACGATCTGGTAGCAACCCTATTCAGATGACTGGGCCAGGCGACCCAATGTAGCCCCTTCCAACCCCACCCGTTCTGTGATTCCGTGAGCACATTAGGTAAGGCTATCAGCGTTTCCAGGAAACAAAACAAGTACATGCGCCATTCAAACACCAGTCGAGAATACACAATGGTATTTCTTCTGGCCCTAGAGCACTGTTCCGTCCAGCCACAGCACCACCGACCGTGCGAGCTCCGAAAGCTTCCC